AAAAAAAAAAAAAAAAACATGGCCTTGAGCAACAACGTTATAGGAGCCATAAACTTCGTAGCCATGCTCCTCTCCATCCCCGTCATCGGCTCCGGCATATGGCTCACGACTTTGCCGGACAACTCATGCGTCCAAATCCTCCAATGGCCCGTCATAATCCTCGGCGTCCTCATCCTAGCTGTCGCCATAGCCGGCTTTGTTGGCGGCTTCTGGCGGATCCCGTGCCTCCTAATATTCTACCTCGTCGCCATGCTGGCACTCATCGTGCTCCTCGCCAGCCTGGCAGTGTTTATCTACATGGTGACGTCACGAGGGTCGGGCCACGCGGTGCCAAGCCGAGCCTACCTGGAGTACAACCTGGACGGCTACTCGGGATGGCTCCAGAGGAGGGTCCGGAGCTCGTACAAGTGGGATAGGATACGAGCCTGTTTGAGCTCCTCCACCATGTGCGCCGAGCTTAACCAGAGCTACCGCATGGCTCAGGATTTATTCAATGCCCATATTACCCCTCTCCAGGTAAATTCTTTGGTTACATAGCTTTTTTTTTTTTTTATCTATGTTTAATTTTCATTCTTCAAATTATACATTATTTTAATTTCTCCAAATCTTTTTTCTAATTTTGACATATCAAATCACGTGATGGTAAGACTTTCGAGCAATAAAAGTTTTTATTTTTATTTTTATTGTTTAAAAAAAAAAAGAAAAAAGTTGAATATTTATGTTAACACTGAACAACGGTCGATAATCAACGATTATATTCTGTATGTCGAAACAGTCGGGATGCTGCAAACCACCCACAGAGTGCGGGTACACGTTCGTGAACCCGACCTACTGGATAAGCCCCATAAACAACGCGGCCGACATGGACTGTGCGCAATGGAGCAACGAACAAACACAACTTTGCTACTCGTGCGACTCGTGCAAAGCCGGCTTACTTGCAAACCTCAAGAAAGAGTGGCGGAAGGCCGATGTTGTGTTGATCATAACGTTAGTCGCCTTGATTTGCGTCTACTCTGTCGGGTGCTGCGCGTTTAGGAATGCAAAAACAGAGGAGCTCTTTAGAAAATACAAGCAGGGTGACCCCTACAACTGATCATTAAATAACAAACTAAGGAATGGAAACAAATTAATGAGGGGAATTTAAGTTTGATTCAAGTTCTTGTGTTGTAACACTATAGTTGAGGTTGTGGTTGAGTTTGAGGATCTCTTTTTCTTCTGGCCATATGCATAGTTGTGGAACTATTTGGATTTATGGTTATAAAATTGTTTGATTTGACACTGTTGAGTGTTGAGTGCTTAGGGTGGATATGTTGTAAGAAACTATTGTAACTTTGTGGAGTAAGAAGCACCCTTAGTTGAAAGTTCTAGAGATTTTCCAAAATGGTAAATAATAAGATTGGGTTTTGTAAGTTGTAGAGATTTTCCAAAATGGTAAATAATAAGATTGGATCTCTCCCATTCCCATGAATTTCAAAATAGTATAAAGATAACAACTAGCTTCTAATTAATTTTTGTTTTGAGTTTTGATAGTCATTGTTAAATATTTAAAATAATTAGTGTTGGATCATATATAGATATCTTTTCTTTTATTTTGTAGATAAATTATTGTTTTATTCTCTTATTAAAATTAATAAATTTTCGACACAATTTATTTTATTACTATTGTAAGATAGCGTATACAAATCTATGAGAGTGGATGGAATGGACCTGGAAAGTAAGTAGGATGGTGAGTATTACAAGACAAACATCAATAGTGGTATGGACGAAGAATCGATCGAATGGACGAGAAGAGTAAGTAGGGTCGTATAATACAATTTTTTATGGTAAAAATTAATTTTGAATAAGGTTTCTTGTCAATTTCTTTTAATAAAAAATTTATGATAACGGAATATGAAAAATGCATATTTATTCAATGACAATAAAACAAAAATCATCTATATCAATTATAATCATCCGTGTATATCAAAACGTACCTTCAATAAAAACATGCCTATTTCTATTTATGCTAATGAAATATAAAAAAATAATCTCTCAATTTTGTATATAAATAAAATATAAAAAAAATAATTTTTTTAACAAAGCGGTTCATCTTTAATATTCAAAACCACCTTATCCAAATAATTAAAGAAAAATTGTGTGCAATTTTTCAAAAGTTAAATGCATCGATTTTTTTGGATTCTTATCTTTTTTCCTAACCATGTTTTACCAAGATTTTGGCAAGTTCATATCATTTTTTCTTTTAATTTTTTATATCATTTTCTTCATGAAAGAGACAGTTGAATAAACATTAGAAAATTATTTCAATCTTTCATTAGAATCATTTTCAATTCAATTTGTTCTGTAAAAAAAAAATTGGTGCAATATTGTTAGAAAAATTCGGTTGCATTTTTAGAATAAATTTATAATTTTTTTATTTGGTTTAAAAAATATTCGGATCAATTTGTTTGATAAAAAGAATCACTTTATTGTTAGAAAAATCGGTTTCATTTTCTGGAGTAACTAATGATTCTTTCCAATTTTCTTAATTGAAATTTAGAATTAGATTTAAAATTAATAATGAGTGAAAATCCCTAAAAATTTCTACTTTTTTTCTACTATAATTTTGGTTAATAAATAAGATCCTTTAATTTTTTTAAAAAATTAGTTAACTAATAACTAAATATGCAATTTTAGATAAAATTAGAACACAACGTATTACTTTACGTGCCAAAGAATCAAACCAATAATATTGTACATACGGGAGTGTTTAATAACATATATATTTTATTTCATGATATTTTTAATGCCATGAGACAATTTAAATACAAAAATCCCTTTTAAAAAACAATTAAGTAATAAATGCCCGTACTAGTATATCTATATATATATTCAATTTAACTTCTAGGGTTAATTTATTTTAAAAAAATATTTTTTAATATTTTTATTTAACGACTTGTACTTTTAGTATGTACAGTATAACTCAGATACAATTTGATACTTCATTAATTCGGTGTTTTCTATGTGTTTATACAAGACTATTGGTCGATCGGGAATCAGTATTACTAACCTTTGCGGTACAATTCCTTGCTCAAATATATTAATGGATTTGTGTTCTTAAACTTTTTACTCTATATCTACGGGTAGGAGTTTATTTCCCGAACATATTTGGATATATGCCTTCTATTTTCTTATTTTTTTGTGTATTCCGGCAGGTTTTCTAGCTTCAAAGTAACTGAAGAATGTAAACTATGTTCTTTCTTATAGTAGGAGTTATTATTTGCTATGGAACATGGTTTAAGGTATGTTAGTTCAACGGAGTAGATCGTGGATTTAAATGGAGGGGAGAGAAAAGAAAGGGAGATGATGTAAAACAATTTTATCTTGTTTGGAAGGATTTTGTTAGAGGGAGTTGAGGATAAGTGGTAAACCTTATTTGGTAAAATAATGAAAAGGGAAGAAAAATTATGTTAGAATGACAAATATATTCTTAATGATAAATGAAAATTAAAATATTATATATAATAAGAATATAATTATAATTGAGTGTCTTAAAATTTTTCCTCCCCTCCAAATTCCTCCACTTTTGGAGGGGAATAAAAACGGAGAGGGGAGGGAATTCTAACTAAAAATTTTCCTCCTCCTCCTATCCAAATTTATGAACCAAACAAGAGAAAAGTAAAATAATCCCTCCTCTGCCCTCCCCTCCACTCATTTTCCCCCTAACCAAACAATACCTAAGTTGCAAACTGACAATTTTCGAATAGTCAAACAATACATGCTGCTCTTTGCTATAAATTTAAGGTTTAGGTTGCAAAATGTAAAAAAGATGAAAGTATATGTTGCAAATAATATTTTTCCCTTTATTTTATTACTTTCGTAAAATACTGTATACAAAATCTTGAATTATTTAATTTATTTGACACTAGAATTTGTTAAGACTTTTTAAGATTTGGTGGGATTCTAAACAGAAAACCTTTTACGAAATCCCACTTCAAATCCTACCTCCAGAGTTAAGATTTCATATAATTCTTCCAAAATCTAACAATTTTAAAAAGTCTCAAATCTTAAAAAGTTTTAAAAATATCACTTAAAATTGTAATTGATACATAGGTTGCAAGACTTACAAAATACTGCGTACAAATATGTCAAAGGGAAAGAATAGTAGTAGTAGGACTAAGGCCCAAAATAAAGGGAAATAAACGGTAGGACTAAGGCCCAAAATAAAGGAACGACGTCGTCGAGGAGATATTATCCTTACGAAAATCCATCTAACCGCTCCACAAATTCATTCTGCAGTCTCTCTTATCTCTCTTCCCCCAATCCAATCCAATCCAATCCAATCCAATGGCATCTATCTTGCTCGGAGCTCCTCCTCCCATGGCAGCAGCAGCAGCAGCAGCTTCCCAATCCCAAGCCTTCACCATTGCCCCTTCTCTCTCCTCCTCCAATTCACTAACCCTAATTCCGTCCCCTCTTCGACTTTCATATTCAATCTCCTCCTCCGCCCCACCTCTCCCTCTGGTTTACTGCGGCAGGGGTGACAAGAAAACTGCGAAAGGAAAGCGTTTCAGGCACTCCTTCGGCAATTCGAGGCCCAAGAACAAGAACAAGGGAAGAGGGCCGCCTAGGGTTTACGCACCGCCGCTGCCGCCGAGAAAAGATAAGTTCGAGGATGTTGACGATGATGATGATGAGGCCCTCACATTACCTGAGGAAGAGCTTCCCTCTGACGAATAAAATTAATATGGGTGATTCATCATTTTGCTATATAGTGTGATTAATCTCCTTTCTCTGCTTTTCTTTTTTGATTTGATGTTCTGTTATTTGGAAATTTGAGTATCAGTTGGATATTTATTTGCCTTTGGGGATCAAAATAGCAGTGCATTTGAGTATTAGGATGAGGTCTTGAAGACCCGTCGCAATTTAACTAACAGTCCCGGTACGGAACCATTTTGTCGGATTTCTAGCCGTTAGATGAATGGTTTACGACGGTTACAAGATGATTTAACGGTTACAATCCGAGAGAATGGTTTATAACGGGACTGTATCACTTCCCAATATTTATGGTGAATTTTGAAATAAGAGAAGATAGCGAGATTCTTGCGCCTAAATCAATTTTTTTTCAATAAATTATTTAGTCTAATGAAATATTTAAAAAAATGTATTTATTATTGTGTATATCAATTACGTGCGGATAAATCAACAATTATATATATCAATTATCAATTATCAGTGTATATCAAAACTTTCTATTAAATGTCATATTTATATCAGATGTGTATATCAAAACTTCTTTTCAATAAAAACATGTCTATTTATATTTATGCTGAAATATAAAAAACTTGCATATTTTGTGTATATCAATTATCCATCATCTGTGTGTGTCGATTACTATGTGCAGTGGAGCAACGAATGAGCACAACTTTGTTACTCTGATGAAGATCGTGTATCGCGTATTGGATTTGCAATACTTTGCGCTAACGTCAGTCAGTTATGCACAATGATTTGGTGCTAGAAAACTAGCGATTTTATTGCTTGAATCTTCCAAACGATGAGTACAAGAGTTTTAAAGAAGAAAATTACCAAAAAATTGCAACTAAGTACTGAAGAATAATTTATTAACTAAGCAAAGCTAATAAATATCATTATTGTTGTTCGGTCCCTGTCTCTAAGTCGTGCCCATGCCTTGTCCATATTTGCTGTTGTCTGGGATCCCGTCTGCGTTCTTGAGGAGCCAAGCTCGGTTATAAGCATTCTTGAGGAGTTGGTCCTCGTTCACAACATTCTCATGCGGCTCGTGCAATACCGACTTGATTTGCATCTACTTGGTCGGGTCGGTTTTTGGTAGTTTGGTGCAGTTTTTCACCAACATGTACCATTGCTCAACCTAGCTGATTTGATACTTGAGCTCGAACTAAATATTTGCGTTGACATTCCGTAATAATTTACAGTTAAAACAGTTTTATATTATATTTTTAATAGTTTTTATGTTATATGGCGCATATAAATTGATTAGAAAAATATATTTTTTTGAAATATTGTAGGGTTTAATAATTTTCCAATTATTAGTTATCATAGAGAACCTAAAATCACCCTCTAATATAAACACATGGGCCGTGGTCTTATAACCTTTCTTTCACAAAGCCCGCCCACTTACAGCCCACATCATCATTCTGTAATCGTAATAGCTCCTAATTGTTTTTATTTTTTATCATTATTCCTTTTTTTCTTCAGTTCAATGTAATTTCCATTTCAAATTTATAGTTACGCAAAGGCTCAATAATAAATAGTTTACAAACATTCGCACCAAATATGTAATCTTAGGTTAAAAAATATTGATCCCTAAATTTAAACTAAGATCATCTTTATCTCTAACTCAATTCAACCGAATTTAATAATTAAAATTATTTTCCTTCATCCACTTACACAACCTCAACCATACAACTCAATTATCTTAATCCTCAGTCTAGTCCAACCTAAAATATTGTTTTATTATTATTTATTTAGAAAATTATAATTGTGTTTATTAGATCTTTTAATTTGATATATGGACCGTTAGATGTAGTCAATAAATGCTGATATGACAATTTTTTATTGACGTTTTATTCAGAGAAATAATTCGGTTACGAGATTTTAGCATTTTCCTAACAGATGTTCAAATCAATGTGACAATATTAGAAATGTTCAATCCAGAAAGGGAAACATTATTATATTTTATAGTCCTCTTTTGGTAATTGGGTCAATAAGTTCCACATTTGCTTCACATTTTTATCTTGATTATTATTATTATTACATGTGTATGTATGCTCTAGTCTGATTTGATTTTTGGCTTGATAATCAAGCTCAAAATGATGTTAACATAATTAATCTCAACCCAAGCTTGTTGTTCTTTTAGTTTTCCTCAAAACACTTTTCTTCTTATAATGCCACACATTTGATTATCTCCATCACCACTCCAACAACAAAAAGCCATAAAATCAGTTTCATGTGCAGCCACATGTGTATATAGCCTCTAGAAACTAGACGTGGCCATTTCACGGGCCGCGACCTGGCCCGGCCCGACGGGTCGGCAGGCCTCGGATTGATGGCCCTTAACCGGCCCGTCTCGGATTGATGGCCCTTAACCGGCTCGGGAAATTATTTGGCCGGTCCATTGAACAGGCCCTGAACGCCGGGTCATCGACCCGCCAATTTTCGACCGGCTCCGAATCGATTCAAAAAAAGTCGGGACCGAAAAAAAAGATAGAAAAAATCTAGGAATCGGAACCGGCCAGCATGGCCATGATTCCGATTCAACGTACCGGCAAAATGCGGGCTGGGAGTGGGACCGGTTCAGGGCCGGGTAGGCCCGTGGCCATGTCTAGTAGAAACCATTGCCAGTGTGAAAAAAGAAAAGGTTACGAAACACATATTATAAGCAGCAAAACAAAGACAAAACTCCACCGCTGGATTTTTCCTTTTATCAATAGAGGTCCTGACAATAAGTCCCTATCAGTTTTGCACAAGATGACACCCACCTTAATTATATATCATACAGATTAATACTCCACACAAACAAACAAAACTCAAGCCCAAAAATCAACGCAAAACGGCAATTTTGCACCGGTTCTCACCAAAATAATAATAATAATAATTAATAAATAAATAAATAAATAAAAATAAAAAAACTCATCAGCTACCTGCCACATTTCTTTTACCTTCTTTCTTTACCGAGAAAAAAAAAATAAAATAAATAAAAATGTTAATATAATCACAAAAGTTTGAAATAGAGTTTGTTTTTTTTTTTTTTTTTT